TGCTTAGAATATGAAACTTGCATTTCCTCATAATTCTACAGGAATGCAAAGATTCATCAGAACAAGAATTGTTATATTTCAAAAATACAAATGACCTACACTTCTCTGGGATAGAAACCGTAACTTCATTCATATTTCAGCAGCTCTGGCTGGCAGGAATTTCCAGGGTTTACTCCCTTTCCATTTTTCTGCCTTTAGCGGAATTTAATTTTGTTTTCATGATTGCCGTCTTGTAAAAATCATTCCCTTTTTAGCTGTTGCCAGTTCAAAGTAGACAAAATTTACAGTTCTAGTGAGTAAAAGTCCTTTACTGGGCCATCCAACCCCTATGACTATATCTGTCTTTTCCAGCTATATTTCAATTACTTTTATGTAGATTGAAATCCAATATTTTCCTGAATCTCATTTATTGTTCCTCTTATTCCTGTGCTTTTAATTTGGTTTTTATCATTTAATTGAAATAGATAATAGTGCATGGAAAAAGAGCTAAAACCTTAGTTGTTTGGATAGAAATAGAATTCAGGAGACTAAAATCATTATAGGCCCACATTAAAGTCTTGATACAAATAGGTTGCTACTAAGTTCTGTATTTGAAGTCATTTGAATAGGAGCTAATTTGAAGTTTGCCACTGAAATTTATAACTACTTTGGTAGTAAATTAATAACACTTTAACAACTCTGTAAAAGAAACTCTCCAACTACTAACAACACTAATAATAAAGATGTTGTTAGCACCTTTGAAATTTATGTAATTAGAGCTAATTATGTAAAACTAATTAGAAAGATCATTTCAAGTATTCTTATTTATTTATTAAAGTGGACATTATGAAAGATCTGACTCCAACATACCAGACCAGACCAGAAGGACAGGAGTCCGAAAAGAAGCCTCATATGAGGCTGTGACTCACTGTTCACTTAATTGTGACCAGTAATTTTACCATATTTCCTTCCCATTGACCTTAACCTTGTTTTAGCAACAGGCTTTTACCTTCAAATAGTTAACAACCAGCCACTGATACTGATACCTGGACAACATATATGTCCACTGAATATTAGATCGTTAACTTGGTGTAGTTGGAAGCAGCAAAATGCCAGTGTAAAATAACCTCTGATTCAAATAATTCATTAATTTGTATTGCTGCCTATCCTGTAGTTAATACCAGAGAGTTTTGTTTGGCTTTACTCTAAAGACAAAAGAAAAATAACTTAAATCATGCCCCAGCTTTAATTTTAAAAGTTAATAATCAAAGAAACCTTTCTTTCGATTGTAATGTTTTGACTTTAAAAAGAATCATGGCTCCAAAATTTTGAAATACTATCTGTGCTTACTAAGGTAGCTCACGTTTTTCTACATATTTAACCAATGTTTGCAGTGAAAGGGTCCAGCCTAGAAATAAGAGTGGGATTTTACTCAGAGCAGAAGAAAACACCTGCCATTAAACCCGAGAGCACAAGTGGGGCCTGGAGTGTCCGAAGCAGCCGCCACAGCTGTGGATGGAGGTTGACCTCTGCTTCGGTTCTGCATTGAGCTGGCAGGTGCCAGGACGCCATTCTGTCTACTCAAAAATACCCCCTTTTGAAGCAGCAGTATTCATTACTCAATTGTAAATGCAAATTTTCATGTGTTCATGAATTAAGCATCCTTGCTTATGGCAAGCTGTCTAAAGAGCTCTAGAGGACACATGTGGCTTTAGCATTAGTAATTGGACTTTGGGGAAAAGACTCATCTCTGTTCCCCACTGTAAAATAATTTCACAAAAGTTTTGACCTCAAACATGCCATATCACCTAACAAAGTCCCTTTGGGGGACTGGTACAATGAGAGCCTTGGCCTCTGAAATCTCACAAGCAAAAGCAAACTAAACTTTAAAGAGGAGAAGCTTTTGATGGGCGTAGGGGAGAGGGGCTGGGGACAAGTCCACAGTAATTGTAAGTGACCTTACAGTAGCTGGATTTTCTAGGGGTCATTTTTCTTAACACCAGTATAGGAGAAGTGTTTGACTTTGGCAACAGGCTGTTTAGCTTTTCTAAATCAGCATGTCACACCATATCCTCTACCAGTGCTTAGAACATTGCCAAACTCTTTATAGGCATCCACCAAATGTATATAAAGATCTAATTAGAGTTAAAGATGCTACTTAATTAAATCAAGACCAGAATCTCCACTGCATTTCTTAACTTGATGGTAGGTGTCCTCTCATTCTTTTCTTTGGGTTGACTCTGCCCCGCCAAAAATAAAATCCTACTTGTAGAGCATTAGTGAGCATTTTGTGCATGTCAAGAATGATCAATACATTTCTTAAACTTAATTTTACAGAGGTACACAGACAGACTGTACTCATGATTCACTACTTGATTCGCTGAAAACATTAAGAAAAATGTTCTTACAATAGCTCCCCTTTTTAGTGGCAAAATCATTTGGGGGGTTAAGAAAGAAAAGGATTTGTTTAGTTGACTCCATTATCTTGGCCCCTTCTCCCTCTCCCAGATGCTCTACAATTCCTCTTTCCTGCATTTTGAACTTGAGATGTTCAGGCCACTGTCCATGACACTATGAAAAAGGCAATTGGGGAAATTCCCTGGTGGTCCAGTGGTTAGAACTCCGTGCTTCCACAGCAGGGGGCATGTTTGATCCCTGGTTGGGGAAATAAGATCCTGCAAGCTGTGTGGCTCGGCCAAAAGAAAAAAAAAGAAAAGAAAGAAAGAAAAAAAAGAAAAAGGCAATTGGGAGGCATTCAAGAGGGCACCTGTTGAAAGCAGGCACCAGATACATGGCCGTCAGTCTTCCTGAGAATCTAGTTCTAGAGCTGTGCCCTAACACTTAGCATCATGATCCACTGCATTTAAAGTCACACAGACTAGCTTAAAGTCCTGGCTAACTCACTTACAAGAGGCGTAACCTTGATAATCTTTGAGTTTTATTTCTGGCATCTGTAAAAGAAATACCATAAAACTTTGCTCATTAGGTTGGGAGAAGATTAAATGCAGTAACAGGTCAAATTTCTTTGTTGATGGTAAAATATACAAAATATAAGACATGACGTTCCTGTTATTGTTAATGTCATGATAACCTCACAGCTGTTAAAATTGCTGCAACTGAGAATGGGAATTTGGTACAGCTCCTCTGCAACTGGTGTTTAGCAGCAGGTATTTTGGTAGGTGGAGCATTCTTACATTCCCACCTGAAGTGAGATAGCAGTCCCCACTGGGACCTCAGAAGGGGTACTTTGTTAGGACCTTGGCTTTACTCCTGTCTAGACTTGTCCTTGTCTCCCAACCCTGCTAAAAAGGAAGGTGAGAGATTGAAGGTAACTCTGAAATGCTCCACTTCCACAGGTGGGCTGAGCCCTGAGACATGACTTCATCTTTAAGAGCTAGGAAAAAAAAATACTGATGCCTCTAGAATTCATGTTTCCTGCTAGTATTTTTGTTCAAAAGTAAAGAAAATCTCAGTATGGCTTAAGAATAGACAGCTGTCCAACAAAATAGAAATTTCCTAAAAGACCCACATATATGTGGTCATCTGATTTATGACAAAGGTAACACTGTACTGTGTTGGGGAAAAGAGGCATTTTCAATAAATGGTATTGGGTTAATTTGATATCCACACGGGGAAAGAAAGCATCTTGACTTTAACCTCACGTCATTCACAAAATCAGTTCTCCATGAATTCAGATCTAGATATGAAAGATAAAATAATAAAGCTTTTAGCTTTTAGAACAAACATGGAAGAACCTCTTTATGACCTTGAAGGAGGAACAATAAAAGAGATAATCATAGAGAGAAAAAAATGTTAAATTGAGTTTAAGAACTTCTATTCATCAAAAACATCTTTAAGAGAATGTAAACACAATATGTAGCGTGGGAGAATATGTTTGCAGTAAATATATCCTTTTCTGACAAAAGACTCAAATTCAGAGTGTGTAAAGAACTCCTATCTGTCTATCTATCTGTCAATACAATGTATAATACGTAAAGAACTCTAGCAAATAATAGGAGAACTCAATAGACAATGATGTGAACAGACACTTTATGGGCTAGGATGCAAAATGGCCAATCCATTGATTAAAAGGAGTTCAACTTAATTACTGGAGAAGTACAAATTAAAACACTATGTGAAACTACTACACCTCCCACCGGAATGTCTAAAATGAAAAAGATGGCAAATACCAAGTATTGGTGATGATATAGAGGAACTGAAAATTCTCATACATTGCTGATGGAAGTATAATTGTTAACCACACTGAAAAACTATTTGGCAATATCTACTAACTAATAATCCAAACGTATGTATTGTCTAGAATGTAACAATTTCACTCCTAGATATACACCCAACAGAAATGTATTCAATTTTTCACCAAAAGACATATACTAGGATGTTTATTGCAGCACTATTTGTAATAACCAAGACCCAAAAACTCCTGGAAGCAAATGGACATTAACAGTAGGGTAAATAAATAAATAATTGTTTATTCACACAGTGGAATATTATAAATCAGTAAAAACAAACAATCTACAACTACACACAAAATTTTGCATGAATTTCACACACACTAAGAAAAGAGGCTAAACACATAATGGACGATTCTATTTATATAAGTACGTTTATATAAAGTACAAAAGCAGGTAAACTATTCTACCAGAGGTCAGAATAGTGATTACTGTTGGTGGCAAGCAGTAACAAGGAACATCACAACAGGGGCTTCTGGGTTCCTTTAGCTGGGTTCTACTTTCAGTAGGTGTGTTTAGTTTGTGAAAATTTACTCAGCATATTATATACTTATGGTATGTATACTTTCCTGTGTACGTATATAATACCATTTTCACATTCTAACCATATTACAAGTGTAGTTTAGAACCTAAACTTCCTTGAGAAACCTCACTGACAGGTACAGCTCTGTGCTCTTTGCATGAATCTTGTGACTAACCCTAGCCTATCTATTTAAGCTACAATATATTTTGAAATTTATTTAAAATATGTTTTTTTTCTCTTTATTTCAGGGCCCTCCTGGTCCAAAAGGTGATAAGGTAAGAAAATGTGTAGCAGGAACAAATTAACTTAGTGGAAATCCATACAGGCGTGACTTATACTATGTTACATTTAGATCTTTTTAATGAGCATCTACAGACTTTGTTCTAAAACTATCTTCTCACTTTCCTACTCTACAGGGAGAACAGGGTGATCAGGGACCTCGGGTAAGTTATACTCTTCCAATCCTGGGCAGAAAATTATTAATAGTTTTCAGCTCAAAACTCATTGAATTAAAGTAGCCCTGGCTTCATAACTGCCTTGGTGTCATGTGGTTTAGTAATGGCTGACAAAAATACCATACCACTTATAACTGAAATAGCCTTAATTGTAACTAATGTTTGTATCTTGTTGCATTATCTTAACTTGATACCTGTAAATAGGACACTCTACAATAATGATTCCTACTGATTAAGGGCCAGAATCACTACTGAAAGTCAGCAACCACCACCCTTCCATTGACTATTGGGTCCTTCAGATTTGTATACGTTGTTTTGTAATATAGAGGCCATGTGGATTCCTATTGAATTTGGCCTTTTTCTGCAGTTAAACGTTATGTGCTATTGCATAAATATGTTGTGTTAGAGATGAAAATATTAATGCATTTTCTATTTTTGTTCATCATAAGTTTGAATAGTACTTATTTGAATTTCTTATTCTTTATAGATTTTTAAGCAGATAAAAGGTGTAATATAATTTAACATTCCAGGGAGGAGGGGCATTCTTTTATTCTTCTCAAATGTGGCTCCTTTAACCATTATAAGACAATGGTGAATGCTTTGTTGTTACCTTGGTAGTGCCAAGTCCTCTGCTTCGCATCTGTGCCTTATTACCCAAATGTTCAGACATGCTGTTCCAATGATGTAGTGGCTCCGTGCAGACATACCTCTCAATTTTCTCGTGTCACTATGCACAAAAGCGAGTACTTGGTTGAAGAGAGTCATTTCTTACAGTGGAAAAGCACATTTAAAACTTTCAGGTTGAAAACAGACACTGTGTAGGTTTTTTGTAAAATGCAGTCTGTGAAGTTAATTATTGAATTCATTTTCACCGCAGTAGAGGTTTTATTGCAAAAGATGTAGTCAGTGCAAACTTGAAAAGTTTGTAGTCTTATCCCTCCTGTTTATTAAACTAGATGAAAATTATGCCATGATTTACTTTCCTTCCTATTCTTCTGCCATTTCTTCATATAGAGATAATGACGATGTCTCAGCATAGTCACCATGGCAGTTATTCTATCTGATGACCAGTTCAAAGTTTATCTTAATGGTCAAGGAGATTAAACATCATGATATCTGTCATGGATGTGAATGGAATAAAATTCTCCTAACCCTAAATGATTAGAATGTAGCCACTTGCTCCGTATGTGGTGATTATTTCACATGGCACGTCTCCATGTAGTGTGTATTATTTCTTTCTGCATGCAATATCAAAATCACTCAACTTGCCCTTTCCAGGTAAGAGGGAAACTGTTTCTATTCTGAGAAATCTTCTTTTGGCAAAGGAAGTGAAAGGGTGGTTCACAGCTTAGCTGTCATCAGTGTGCACACAGCCCTCAGTTTCAAAAAGGTGTGTTGGCTTTCATCGTTTCAAAAAGTGATGATTGATTATAAAGCTAGGCCAAATTTTCAGGAGGAAACCCAAAACCATGTGAAATTCACCTTGTTTCATGTTGCATTACAAACTAAGACTTGGACCAGGTTCCTTGCAAGTGTGGCCAAAGTTCATGAACTACTTTGACAACCCAGACTGCCTTTCATACAGATTGCAGCCAGTTTTCACACTGACTGGGGCCAAGTTTCACATGATTCAGGGGCCACTTAGCATTTTAGCTGGAAAGTGGTAAAAATTGATCCCATTTTCATTTGGATTTTGCTTTGTATTGAAGGAATTTGGATTGAATTCATAATGTAGGATGAATCTTTATGGATAAAAATTTAAATGTCCTAGGAAGTATACATGAATGTGAGCATGAGAACTTACCGAATTGCCTGTCTTTTCTCAGATTCCTAATTTAGAAACAAGGCAGGTCACATTCAGTGATCTTAGAATTTTAATATAAGTAGTGTCAGCTACCTATTAGGAAATTCACATATCAAGATGGCAAAATGAAGATTTTACATTTCCAGAAAAATCAAAAGTTAGTTAGAACTGGAAAAGTCTTCAATTTTAATGAACATTAATTTTACCCACATCCTCTTTGGGCACACTGTTCCAGCTGATGCTGACAGAGGCTCTCTTTTTTAAAATGTAGATCTTTGTATTTGAATACCATTTCCATTTTCATCCTATCATAGATTTTTGAAATCCACGTTTTACCATTTTTTCCAAGTAATTTATTTCTTTCCATAATTAACAATATGAACTTAACATCACTTTAGTTCTTTGTTAACTGACTTTCCACTGGGATCTATGCTGTTTTCTTGAACGTGAGGTCCTTTTCTTTTCGTTTCTTTTTTGTTTTGTTTTTGGCTCACCAAGTGCCAGACAGGAATATATTAAGCCATATTACGTGAATCAAAGCAGGAGAATTTTGAAGATAAAATGCAAATTAAGAAGGTGAAACTATCTTGAAACACTTGGGCATATATTTATCAACATATATTGAGCGTCTACCATGTTCAAGGTACCCTACTTAATACTATAGAGACTATAAATGGGTCCACTTGCCTCTCTCCTCTAGTATCAGCAAATTCAACCTATTCTCATCTCATGTTCTTGATCACTGCAGTAGTCTTCCAATTAATCTTGCTTCCACTCTTACCGTGTACAATCCATTGCCTAAACAGCAACCAGAGACCGTTTTATGCTGTAAATTAGATTATGTTTCTCCCTGTTTTAAACTGAAATCCAAATCACTTTGCTTGGCCTCCAAGATCTGGCCCTTGCTCACCTCTATAAGCTCATCTCGAACTAGTCTTCCCCTCTCCCCACTGTGCTCCAGCCAGTCTATCATCCACGTGTTCTTTAAACACAACACACTCCCGACTTGATGACTTTCTATTTGCTCTTTTCTGGTCTTGTGATTGGGTTCTTCTTATCATTGAGAATTTTCTCTCAAATACCTCTTTGGGGAGAACTTCCCTACCCTACCCAATCGAAATCTGAGATTATCCTATTTTGTTTATTTATTTAGTTGCTTCTTATCTGTAAAACATGCCTCTCCTTAAAACAAAAACTCCATGAGAGCAAGGACTTCTATCTGTCTTGTTCATACCTCCGTCACCAGAACAGAAAGGACTTAGTGAATATTTGTTCAATGTTAGAATAAAATATTATCTCATCATTACTGCCCTCAAGCAGCGATAATCTCATGGGTGCCTGAATAAGAAAACTGTGTGGTTTTATGTTACGTGCCTTAAATAGCCGTACTAAGAGACGCTAGATAATTGAACATTCTTCCATTCTAAAAAATAACTGCAGAAAAGGTGACACTTGAGCTAGGACTGGATGCATGGGTAATCTTTAAAAGCTTACATGAAGAGCAAGATATTAAATATTCTAGGAAGAAGAAATAGTTCATACAATATTATACAAGCAGGATTCATTTGAGGAAAAATAATATTCCATTTGCCAAGGGAATAGGTTAAATATGGAAAGATTGTATCATATAAGGCTGAAATTTTTTTATTGAAATTACATCATGGAGCATTTTGAATGTCTAGTGTGGTGGGCAATAAGGAACCACTGAAGAGTTTTGAGTATATCATTTGCTGTATATTACCACTAGACTATTTAGTGTAATTACCAATTTTTTGTTTTTCTTTTCCTGAATCCCAGAGAAGGGAGGAGCCTGGGATTCTGTTGGGTTGTTTTTTTTTTTTTCTTGGTTCTTTTTGGCTGCGCCCGTGCGGCATGTGGGATCTTAGTTCCCTGACCATGGATTGAACCTGTGTCCCCTGCATTGGGAGTGCAGAGTCTTAACCACTGGACTACCAAGGAAGTCCACCTTATGTTCTTTATGAAAATGTATAAGGTAATAGTGTCCAGTATGGAAAGAAATTGGAAGAGACTGAAAGCATGGAGACCAAGTAGACCAGGAAACTATGTCAGTCATCTAGACAAGGTCATAAAAGTCTGGACTATGAGAATAATGTCCAGTCCTCAGTGGAGAGATGAGCAGAGGGGATGGTCTGGCTCAGTCTGGAACATCAGGTATCATTGGAGGTACAGGGCCACACTGAGCAGAAAGTTCAGTATCAGAATGAGAAGCTCAGTAGTGGAGAGGGGCTAAGTTGGTGAGCCAAAGCCGAAATTCCAAAGGGGTCACCAGAATATTGGAGAAAGCTGTATGTTTGCAATGGGATTCAAAAGGAAAGTTGCATCATGTCATCAATAGGGTTTGCCACAAGCACCAAGCAAAAACCTGGGCAGACAAAGAGGGAAAACCAGGGTTGATACTAGTAGAGGAGAAATGGATAAAAGTGAAGTCTTGAAGCAGAAGGTGAGAGATGAATTTGATCTACATTGGGTTTACATCCAAAATCTGTGACCATGGCTAAAGTTGTGATCATGTTAAACTTTTAACAAAAGAAGAAGAGAAGCAGTCAGGTAGTCAAATTAAAAGGTACTGAGGGGGCTTCCCTGGTGGCGCAGTGGTTGAGAGTCCGTCTGCCGATGCAGGGGACACGGGTTTGTGCCCTGGTCCGGGAAGATCCCACATGCCGCGGAGCGGTTAGGCCCGTGAGCCATGGCCGCTGAGCCTGCACGTCCGGGGCCTGTGCTCTGCAACGGGAGAGGCCACAACAGTGAGAGGCCCGCATACTGCAACAAAAAACAAAAAACAAAACAAAACAAAAAAGGTACTGAGGTGAAAATTTAATACAAGTCTTATAGCTAATTGGATGTAAGGGCTGAAGTTGAAAGAGAAGGTAAAGCTAGAGGTGAGGTTTCTGGCTTGACTCCTTGATAACGTTGGCCAGAAGAGAGTCAGTAGGATAAATGATAAGTTGAATCGTAGTTATGCTGAATTTGCGATCTTGATGAATTATTCCATTGGAATAATGTAGCAAGCAGTTGGAAACATGAGACTAGAATTCTGAGGTGGTGTTGCAGCTGGAGGTAACAGCTACGTAGCTGAACACCCCCAGAGCAAGAATTGAGACCCCAGGGAGCAAAGTGGGGGGTGAAAGAGTGAACATAGAGCCACTTTAGAAATATCTACACT